TTTTGAAAATTCAAAGCCTATCAGTTCCTAATGCTCCTAATCTGAGTGTTCTTCTGAAAAGAACAGAAGCTCTTTAGTGCTTTGCACGAATTCAAACCATGGGCTATTACTCACAGAGAATAAACCTGTTGTGTCACCCATCTGTTAACAGCCATCTGGGACAGATGTTTTAAATGCAAACTGCCACGAGATTTAGGGTCCACAATCAACTTATCTTACAACTTCATCATTTACCCCTGAATGCCCCAATAAGAAATCATGGAGTCCCATCTGACTGAAGGAAGCAATACACATACTGTACATTGGCTTCCTTCCCTCACACATGAACAGCCCAGAAAGCAGATCAATGCTATGCCCATCCCACCCAATCCCTGCTGCTTGGAGAGCTAAAGCTCACCTGAATTTTTTATGGACGTGGAATTGACCATACCTAATGCAAGCAAAGTCAGACTGACTATTTGTTTGCTCTTATTTACTTGCTACCAAGGACCTTAATTCCTTAAGCCAAAGAAATTCCCTTTAAAATGTGTGCTCAGCAAGTATAAAGATTTTTCATAAAATTCTGAAACAAAGTTATTAGGTCTTCACACCCAAGTTCTACGATTTTCTCTGCATGTCCATCTGGCAGACAGCTGAATTATTTATTTGCTGTCACACTCAGTAAATTGATCTACTGGCATTTAAAGGTGTCATCTCTACTCATTACAATTTCAATGATCACTCGAGCACTGCCAGCATTGTACCAATGACCTGAGTTCTGACTACAACTTTTAATCTCTGCTAATCACAAAACCAGCAAGATTAATTCCACATATAAAGCAGTCTAAGAGACAGAAGAAACTGAAGGACTGGGCTGCTTTTCTTCAGAGTTCATTGATCTCTGTGTGGTAACGATTTGATGAGAACGTTAATTTAACGACTCTGAAGTGCAACATACATTTTTCGAGATCAAGGTAAGACATCAAAACTGGTCACACTGCAATGCAGAATTAAGGTAAACAGGCTTCAGAGACAAAAATGGGATTATATTATGCTCGTGATGATGAAAAACTACCCAGTCGGTCTCACATCACAACCATTGTCCTCATAGTTGCAAGAGGAATGTGACTGCCTCCTCACAGATAGACCATACTGCTCTGAAGAGTTTGGGGCAGATGTTATCAACCCTTAGCCACATCTCCTGCATGCTCTCCCCAGTACGTTCCCAAACTATTTTAGCCACAGTGCCAGAGACCAGAACTCCATTTCTGCCCCGAGATATTTCAGGCTGGCAAATAACAGCAGCCCCCCGGGTCACTCTAAGGAAGTGTTTAAAAGCAAACAGTACTGACGCAGCTTGGAAAATGTACCAAAACACAAGACATTCAAAATGCACTAGACTATGTTCTAGCACACTTTAGGTGATATATCAAGAGGTTTTCAAAAAAAGATACAATGACCGTCCAAGCTCCTAGCAATGCACAGGCTGTTGTATGCTGCCATGCTCGTAATTGTCCCCAATTTGCACGCTGTAGCACGGCCTAGCAGGCAAATGGCTCCATAACCATCACCGCTGACTGAGGCGCTTCCGCTGAGAAAAGGACCACCAGCGTATTTCTCATGCAACGCTCCGCAAGACAGGGAGTGCTCAAAAAGACATGACAGCATCTTGGGAAAGAAAGGACATACGCATAGAGGGCAAGAGCTAACATGAGCGTGCACACGTACTTCAACTGGAAATTGAACACCAGCTGAAATAATGTCACCTCCCGTTCAATGACACCCCTGGGCAGCACAGGAACTAAGCACAGCAGTGACCTGCAACCCACAGCCACACACATATATAACCACAGCCAAGCCAAACCGCAGGAAAAGTTGGAATTTTGATCATGCCTCACTAGAGAAAAACATAATTAAAACTATTACACTTGGAAAACTTCCAGCTCTATGAATCTGACAAAGACATTTATGATGATCAAAGAATAATCATGTCCAGTAAAATCCCTGTACATAAAAGCACTAAAAGAGTTTTATAGTCAGAAATCCAAGGGAAGAACATTTTAAACAAGTTAACGTGCAACTTCTATAGAAAAGCAGTAGCGTGATTTTTCCATTTCCTAACCTATTATTTAACTTCACAGCTATATGTATCCTATCACGCTTTTCCTGTCAGACTAAACATCTTGTTTTATTACAGGTCAGAGCAACTTATCTCTCCGGATATTTTTGATGAAAATAATTAACTCCAGACTTCAATAAAAACAGTCCAATGTCCTTTCTGTGATAACTAATTTTTGACACTTCGATCCACTTTGCATTTCTATCCTTTGAAGGATGACTAACACGAGAAGGAATTCATAACACCATCCACCAACCCGGGTGCATTACAGTAAGACATATTGACGTGCTTGCTCTTTTTATTGATCCATGCAGCAGGTTGTTATTCGAGGTAACATTAACAGAAATGTCACATTACTTAAAAAGAAAAAATTATTTCACAGTTTTTGGAAAAAAACATTTGGCAGAGTGCTGCCATCTGCACCAATATTTGAAAACCAAGCTATTCAAATATGCATAATTTATTTAATCTTATCAAGATATTTGAAAATTAGAGGGGTTTTATTACATTTTCCAAAGAAGCATCACTTTGCATACCGAGTATTATATCCATCTGGAAAACAAACACTTGAAACAGCCTTGCCTTTTCAAGTCCATACAACCTTGTTATATTGGGCTATTCATACATACTGAGCATATGACTTCTGGAAGTTGCTTTTGGGAAATAAGGGTAAGAGGAGACAAAAACTACAGAGGTTGCTCAAATGATGACAATAAGAATTTTAAGTCTCTCGAAAATACGTATACTGAAGTGTAGTGATTATTTCCTACCATTTTTCCTGTTTATTTTAGAACCAAGCACAAGACGGCAGCTTAGAGTAAGCCCTTTCCTTGGTTCAAGAGCTTCAAGAGGTTAAGAATTTCACTGCTGATTATGCTGACAAACAATTCCAATTTTGCACCAATCCAAGCAGTAAGTGACATAAGAAAAGAATTTACAACACGCATGCACTGAAGCTGGAGCCTGTTTGGGATTGCGCCTGTTACAGCCCAGAAACTGGAGATGAAGACTGCAAGCCACTCATAGTTTAGTTGAAGAAAACATCTTCTGCCACCCTTCTTCTGGCCTTGTCAGTGATCACCCTTATTTTGAAGGGGTGTCCCTTGTTTCACATATTTGCTGTTTAAGCGTGGAAAAGGTGGAATGTAGCCTCCACAGATTTTAACCAAGCAACATAGCTACCCACTAAACCTTCTTGACTATAGCACTTTACCTAACCACAATGTTTAAAATACAAGAAGATTCTTTCCATTTTATCCTGAACCTCCACTGAACACCACACCTGAAACAGACATCCAAGGAAGGGGAGCAGCGTGCAAGAAAGAAAACTCCCGGAATGATTTGTTAACAGCACAACCAAATAGGCTTTATTAGAATATCATTATGCTTTACTGTTACAGATCAGTGACATAGTCAGGGTAAGGCTTTGGAAAAAGGTAGTTGGAAAGTCCTTCTACACAGCTGGAAGTTTCTAGTATTAGCTCACCAGACCTTTCTGGACATTTGCTAAGCTCTGGGAGACTGTAAAGTATGGGCTTCAGAGGACTGTGCTGCTGTGTGTTCTGAGCTGCTGAGCAAACCACAGGAGGGGAACTGTGAAGCAGGAATGAAAAAAAAAAAAGTCTCAAGCTGACTTAGCCATTTGCTCTAGAACAACAATAATTTTCCAGGAAAATGTTCTAAACAGCTGAACCTTATCAAGAGGCTGGATGTGAACTGTTCCTCCAAGGAATGCTCAGTAATGAAAGATAAACGTGCACTTTACTTTAGGGGGTTTGAACATAATACTATCTCCCACCTTCAAATCTACTTTTCTGAATTTCTTTGTGTGCAGTATTTAAAATGCGCACTTCTGTTCTTAAGGTAGCAGCAGAAAGAATATCTTCTTTGAGTAAACAGATTTTGGCAGACTGCAGAAATTTGCAAAATATTGATTTTGTTAGGGCTGAGCTTAAAGTTTCAATCTTGTTTCAGTTTCACATAGAAATTTTACAAACTGATTTGTAAAACAAATGTATTAAAACAAGTGAATCGTACTAGTCCAAATAATAAACTGAACCATCTATGATAACTGAGTATTTGAGAGCAGCAGAGATATATAATTAAGGGTAAAACGGTACACTGGAATAAACATTGTGTCCTCGGCCGTTCTGTCTGAATACATAAGGAAACACTTTTTGTACTGTGAGGACGACTGAGCACGGAGCAGATCACCCAGAGAAGCTGCAGAGTCTCCATCCTTACAGATATTCAAAAACTATATGGACGTGGTCATGGGCAGCCTGCTATAGGTGACTCTGCTTGAACAGGGTCTAGGACCAGGTGACCTCCAGCAGTCCCTTCCAACCTCAACCGTTCTGTGCTTCTAAAATATTTCTGAAAAAGAGTCCCTTACTACCATGCAAAAAGGCAGTCAACTTGTACAATTTCTGCAACTAATGAGTACTAGCATCAGATGTGCTTTGCTTCTCCTGGAGAGAGAAATCGGATCTCTCCATGTTCTCACTGGCAACCCACTCAGGCAGGATCGCAGGCAGACACTCTGCCTGGCTGGCCCAGATGTGGTTACTGGTAGAATACAACAGCAGTCAGCCAACCGATCTAGAATGTTTTATTCCACAAGCCTTTTCTTCAGTGGCACTTTCAGTCAAGTCTCTCCCCCCTCCCAGCCTACCAGTTTTTACAAAACTTAGCCTAATACCTTTGTGTCTATGTTCTATCGAACTGGAAGAAACCATTTGTTGAATACAAGTTATAAGTGAGGAAATTGATAATTGAATATATAAGCCCTTATTTTTGTGGGAAACCAAGTTAAAAACATATTACAGGGAGTGCAGTCTTCCGCTCAACAATGTTTGTGTAAAGTATACTAAGCACCCGAGAATTACAGAAGAAGCATTACCTGCTTGTAGTCCTCTGGTTGTCTAATGAGATCTGTTTCCGTGACAGAAAAATGTCCAAGGATCTGGTCCATATGAGAGCCACTAGTGAATAAGTGGATCTGGAATAGATTAAATTAAAAGATAGTTGTCAGTACGAGGACCGGATCATTAACAATATCATTAGCTACCATCTAACAGCTGCACAGCTTGAAATGCTGATGTGAACCAGTGGTTACAAGCCCATTCCCAATGGACAAGCACAAATGTAACTATCACCACCAAAACAACAAATCTTTTTAAAACAGCCTGCAGGAAATGATGATCATGCACCACAATCATCTCACAAAATAGTCCATCTGGTATTGCTACCAGAACCACAGGCAGGAATTGCTATTGCTGCCGCCACAGTAAACCAGAAAGATTTCTCTCTTCATCCTGTCTTAGTGTCTTTTTCCTTACACAACATGTGCTTTTGTGCATAGCATAAAAGGAAAAACCATTTACACAGATGGAAGAAGTCTTAACAGAGGTAAAGGATACCCTCAGCCTAATTTTTTATTTCTTCCTTTAAAGCAGAAAATGCTACATAGTTACAGTAAGTTTCTCTTCTGCTGCTATATATTGTTGGCTTTCACTTACTGGGACCTTGTCCCAGCTGCGCTGGTGATGGTATCATCAATTACTTGGCGAAGAAGCTTCCCAAGTTAGTCAAGGGAACAATAAAAAGCAATTCCTCCTATTCAGAGCTGATCCCTTTGTTACTGTAATAACTGCAGCTGCCAAACAAGATAGCAGTGCACATTTGTCAGACAATCGCTCATATTTCATTAATATTTCTGCCAGAAGACAGAGAACGTTTCCTGCTTTTCTTCCTTTATTCTAATATGAACTTTATCATACACTTGGGTATTGACAACTATTTTAAAGTTGACAGGCACTGGGTAATTATCAACCCTTCCCCGAAACTTCAGAATATTTTAGCGTTCCTTTCCCAAAACTCACTTCTGGTGACAACCATCTGTCACATGTGCAGAGCTATGCGAGTTTAAAAATAAAAAAGCACCTCCCCACACAATGTTCTTCCTTTCTACTTGCCACTCCTCTCCCTGCTGCATTCTTGCGTAACTCTGGCTGCCAAACCTTTGGGCCTCCAGCATCAGGGATAAATTTCAGCCCCTCTTCAAAAGTATGTTGCAGCGGCATCACTGGCTTAAGCTCAAAACAAATACTCTGAAGCTGTAACAACAGAGGAATAAGGTGTTCCCCTGAGACCAGACTAGATGGATACTTGAATAATCCAGTATTTGTAACTGGAATAATCCAGTATTTGTATTTTCACTTTTACAATCTGTTATTGATAACCACAACATACTGAAGATGAAAGAAGGCTTAAGAAGGGAAACAGTACCAAGGTAAAAGCAGCAGGTGAGAGGGTGAGAGACAGTGCATGTGTAGCTGTTGCTGCATGGCACCGGGATGGACTGAGGAGGAGGCAGGTCTGATTTAACCATACACTCCCCTCGGCATGAGGGTACAGGCACAGCCCCCCACTGAGCACCACTTCTGGGGACTTCCCAGTACCAATTCCTAAACGCCCTTGAGCTTAGATACCCTGCAGGGAGATCAGCTTGCCTAATTCACCTAAGAGAAGATGAAAAGGGGACTTGTTCATAGTTCCCACACACTAGCATGAGATGAAAAACTTCTACTGCATTAAAGAATGCCTACTGAGATCTAGTGGCAAATTCACTTTAGGAAAAAACAAAGATTTTCAAACCAAATATCTCAAGACACACAAAAAAAAAAGATAAAAGATGTCATTAACCGATGTAGTAATTTACAGAGTAACATGATAGATTCTTCATGCCAAGATACAGACGCATCTAACAATTGCAGTTTAGCTCACTCATAAATTACTGACAATGAGGTAATCACCCAGCACCAGTCTCTGCCCTCTGTTATTCAGAGATCGAGACTTTGTCCTTGTCCCTTTACTCTTTTACTAAACCATCAGATATATAGATACAACCAATCCAATCCAATCCACTGGAATATACTGCATTTTATATTGGTTTTCTTAGAGGAGGCACAAGAAACCACTCCATTCATAGGAGGTATTTCCCAGTGCTGCTCTGCATTCTGACTGACAGGATACAACTGTGCTCTTACAGTTTCCAAACATATTACAACCATTATTGTCATTTTACCATGATCTGATAATGCCAATTATGTTAAACTCTTCTTCTAGCATCAAGATTTCCATTTAACATAATTTTAGTCCCGCTATCTTATATCCACAGTCCACCAAACCAGACATTCACCTGCTTAACAAAATTCACCTCTGAACCTGACCTAACCTTCCCCTATTTCAAGTGTGATTTCTGCCTTGGTCTTTAGTGGATGGAGGACAGCTGAAAACACCCACGGGAAATCCATCGGTTTTGCAGAAACTCACTTGTTCCGCTGTTTCGGTTCACATGCTGATTGTGGCACAGTGCACGTAACAGGCCCAAAAAACAACACCAGTTTTAAACTACACAGGCTCCTACCTGTTATTCTGAAACCATGCAAGGCTTCTCATTCACGTTTCTTAAAGCAAAGTGGTAATTCAAAGCCTAACTAAAAACAACTGCTCTCCCCTATGAATTCAAGGGGGATCAAAAACCAGGCAGATAGATATTCCCCAAGCACTTCACAGAAAGAGGAAAAAACAGAATAGAAGGAACCAAGAGGCGTGCCTTAACATGGTAATTTATCCTTCACGCTTCCATATATTTGAAGGTGTATCAGGTAAATATGTACCACTGAGAATTTTGAGGGAATTATAATGGTATTACTATATTATACTTTCAAAGCAGACCAACCTGTCCATGTTGAGAAACCATTATAATGTTATTCAACAGCTCATAGCCTCAGGCTGCAAAATTCCTCAGCAACAGAGAAGTTAAGATTTCCCTGAGGAAATCTTCCTCCTACAGCAGGACATGTGTGTGTCTGTAAGCTTCAACATGCCTTCTGGGAGCTGAAGTCACTGAAAAGCAGCTCATCAGAAGAACTGGCAAAGAAGAACAGCCAGTCAGACCACTGAACAAGCAATTCCCAACACATGGCCGGCTGTAGCTCCAGGGAGGCTTCCCTCTCCAGTAACCTACACTGGTTACTACAGAACTTCATACCATCAACCTTAAGTGGCTCCGGGCAGGAGAGCAAAGATAGGGCACACAGCAATCAGTTTCAGTTATCGTTTGTGTGCTTTAGAGAAAGAACAGCCATTAATTTTTGCCTGTTTCTCCCTCGTATCTCCCTCCTACTTCTCCCTTTCCCTTTCTTCAGGCAGTGCAGTACTGTTTCAATAAGACATGAGTCATCACTTCTAACCTGAAAGTACATGTCCCTGATCACCCAAGCGATTCAAAATTTTTTCACAAAATCATAGAAACGGAAAAGACCTTTGGAGGTCTTTAGTCCTACCCCCTGCTTTAACAAGGACTATCGCCAACATCAGTTTGTGGCTTTGTATATACGAGTCTTGGAAACATCCGAGGATGGAGACCATTCAGTGTCTCTGGTGACCTGCTCCAATGCTGCCCATCATCCCAGAGAAGATTTTTCTGATATGCCTGAACTTTCCAAGCTATAATCAGTAACCTCTTCCCCTTTGTCCTCTTGTACTGCTGAGAAGACCGTGGATCCACCTTTTTAACTACCCACCAAGTAGCTGAAAGCAGCTATTAGGTGACCTCTCCCTCAGCCTCCTCTCCATCAGAGCAAACAAGCCCGACTCCCTCAACCTCTTCTTGGAGGTCATGCCCAACTCAGCTAGTCCTTGACTATGTTGGTAGCCTCTTGCTGGATGCTCTCTATATAATTCGTACTTCCAGTAGCAATATCCATACTTAAAAAATACAGAGTGGAAAAGCAGTCATCTCCTGAATAAGAACATATTTTCCAAGTGTGATGTGTTTTTCTCAGAAAGCCCCAAATACAGAATATGGTATTTTAGAGCCGTGTGAGTCAGAATGAAATCTGTGGAAGTGTCGCCACTACTTGGCAAAAATTATAGCTCGTGATCAGCAGTAAATAAGACTGTTCCGCAGTTGAGACACATAACCTGTTAAGTTATTAAACAGAGCGAGTAAAAGCCATAATTATAATTTTGTAGATAAAGCCCTCTGTAAATCTGTCAGCATAATTAAAAAACATAACACTCATTAGCCTTTTGCATACTGTGTTTGTGGTTTATATGAGAAAAGCAGCAGCTCATATAGAGGTCATATTGGGTCAGCTCAGTCTTCTAACACATAGCAGACTAGTTTAAAAGTTTTAAAATTATTGCAGTACCACAGCCAAAAATTCTCTATAAAGAGTCAGGAAATAACAATTATTGTTTATGCAATTGTTAAATTGTATAAGTATGTTATATTTTGTGTTACTGTAAATGTTAACATTAATGTGGCACTGTTATGAGGTCCCTTCCAAAGTCACTTTTACCTTTCAATTTTCCTGCTTTTAATTCAGACTAAAATATAAATCAGAGCACTGCACTTTATTACAGCTCTGAACAGAACTCCCACAGTTGCACATATGTATTGAGCACACATATCACTGTGTGATCACATATGCAGGAGCTGGGCTCCTGTCTATCCTCCTATGTATACATCCATGATGGCAGCCCTCTACGTACACTGCAGGACATAGTCTGATCGTAAGAATCATCACCAGCGCCGCTTATTGCTTTCAGTTTAGTCCAGTGGTGACTGTTGGAGAAGGCAGTAATGGCAGCTTCGGGAAACTGGATGAACAGAGAAACATTCTCCCTCCTGCTCATTTGTCCACACTCTGGAAATCGTGGTCCAGGGAACTGCAGCATAACTAACCTATCTCTTATATTTGTCTGACTGTAACAGTCCTAACTTTAGCAAACATTTTTCCTTGGATAGCCACAGGAGAAAAAGAAGTTTCAAGTTTATTTCGAAGTAAAATCCCCACAGGAGGTCATCACCTCCCCTGTCAACAAGTTTAGCATGTTGCCCAATCAGCACATCTTCGTCATTTCAGTGCCTGACCTGGACCATTGAGAGTATTTATGTTTGTACTTGAGGCCCCAGGTTCAACCTGCTCTTAATTCTTCCTTGGTCTCATTAACTCCAAGCTGAGGTATTGAAGCTGCCTAATGATTTGGTACTGCCAAGTACTACATAAATCACAGAACTGATGATGAGTTATGGAGATATTTGCTTCACCTACTATAAAAATCAGCACACCTTAAACAGAGGTAGCTTATCAAGGGGAGAAGATGCCAATCATTTCATTTGAGTTTTATATCACTACGGCACCTCTCCCAATAGCATCACTGTCTGTAACCTCAGTGCAAAAGCCGAGGACTGCACCTGCACTTACGGTGAATTGCTATCTTCATTCCCAGATCAGAAAAGCACAGTCACAGTGGGCAATGAGAAGCAAAAGGTTATTTTAGATGCTGCACACACAGCACCTGATTTTTCCCTAGGGCTGTCAATCAGACATCTTCCCTAGCAATCAATTCATGTAAAGAACAAAATGTAACCTCATTATAGTTTTCAGCATTGCTCTGTCAGACACAGGATTAAAACCAAGGCGGCATCTTCATTCAAAACCCTCTTGTCCTGATTCTGACAACTTTCTGATAAATGTTGTTCTTTCAGGAGAAATTTCTCAAAACTGTTCTTAGCCTCAAAAGGTTTTCTGTGAAGGTTCTGGGTATCATACCAAGTGGTTCCATATAAGCTACTTGAAGAGATATGAATGGAGAAAGGGGGCCTAGGGAAAACATTACTGAATAACTTTTAGGACTATCTTTATAACCATTCTTTTTAAATTTGTCTCTGCAGTCACCGTAACTGACAACTTTGGGACTGCAGACTGTTTCCATCCTAAGCAGACATGATGGTCCCAGATGTCTGTGATTTTCAGACCAGCATATAAACATTATTCATAAATGGGAACAGAACTGGAATCTTAGCAATGTAGAGACCACTACTGATTCCTGATTTAAAAGCAGGTAGATTTTGGGTTCTGCTCAGGTTTTCCCTAGTACTTCCAAAAGGGAAATTGCATTTTATTTTGCTGCTATTACTTCCAATATCCATGCCTAATACTTCGAATCCACATTTCTGATGAGCTTATAGTTCTGAATCACTACTTCTTGTCTGTGGGACCAGAATGCTCTGTCTTGCTTCTACAGGCCATTTTCTGAGAAAAATGGAGACAGCATATGGTTGCAGAAGTGACTAATGTGCCAACCTGCAAGACAGACTTTAATACAACAATTGTAACCTCATGAACGCTGTACATACTTCGTTTTCTCATGGTTCTTCCCCACCGGGGAACGGTGGGGGTATTTATATTTAAAGTAATTCACTCTTATCTACAGAAAATGCAGAACTAGCAAACGAGAATAATTTCTACGTTTAGCACTAGCTGACAAGGCTTTTAAATAATAAACAATGCCATCGTGAGTTAGAAGAATCATTTACCTTGTGCAAAAGTTTGCATTGCTCTTGGTGCTGAGCGTGCAAACTCCGCCACTGGAACCTCAGCCTCCCATTTAACCACTGAAGGTATCGAACATCTACTCTGTCTTCTAGCCCATCTTCAGGTGCTACTTCAGTTGTGCTTTTCTGGCTGGTAGGCAGATCATCTTCACACTAAAAGCAAAAGAGAATACCAAAACGTTTGCAGTTAGCTTCAACACTTTTAAATCATTCAGCAGTGAAGAACGCACAAGGCAAATAGGCCAAAGAGGAAAAAAAATGCCCCAAAAAGGAAGGAAGTTCCAGCAGTAAACAGAAATTGTAATCTTTTAGAATACAGGACTGGGAACAGCCTAAACAAGTACTGAAGTCTGGAACAAATATCAGCTTCTCAGCTATGACGTGGTGAGCTGTCTCCTCTCCCATCTTTCATTTTCCGTACCCAGGAAGACACAGTGTTCCTGAGACAGCAAGCATGTTCTTTACCCAGATGGGAAAAACCACATTTTGACTAGATTCTAATAAGTCAAAGAACATAAAAAACACACTTAGCCCCTCCAGTGTCTTCCCAAAAGTGCTGCAAGCTGTATTTGGTGGCCCCATTCTGTAAATCAATGCCTTATACAGGGACAAAATTGTGGGCCTGTGCTTACCCAGGTATTTTCTTTTCTCCATCCAGCATTTCCCTTCTTGCAGGATAGAGGAAAAGAAACAATCACCCAGCTGACATTGGCCAGGAGTCCACAGAGGCACTCCCAGCTACAGTTGCACCACCTGTCTTGCCTTGTTTTGCCTTTCTCTAGAGTAATTTGGAAAGAAGGGAGAAGCTAAGAGTTTCCTTTTGTTCACCTTGTCCCACTTTCCTTCTGCTGCAAAAACAAAACAAAACCAAAAAAAAACCCAAAACAAAAACAACACCAACCACCACCACCGTCATCTTCTGGATGAAACTTCTCCTTGGCTAATGGCATAAAGCAAGGAAGACATTTCTGTCCTATCTCCTTCCCAAGTGTCCTGGTTTGAGGACGAATTTAGTTCAGTAACTTGCTTCTTAGCTAGGCCTCTTCTAACTACTGTCATTAACAGCATATTGTAGGTGAAAGCAAACTGCCACAGTTATATAGCTGATGCCCAGGCATGGTATGCAGACAGGCTCTTGCTTATACTTATTGCTGTAACACCCAAGGCCAACCAACTTCGTTACTTGCCCTGTTGGAGGGTCGGAAGCAGAAAAGCGTAGTGGGGTCCCATCTGTGGGGAGGAGCGGACAGGTCAGGTGACCCAAACCTGACCACCGAGGGTATTCCATCCCATCTGCCTCATGCTCACTATAAAAGCTGAGGGATCAAAGGGTCATCTCTCTCTTTTTCTTCAATGGCCGATGTCTGAGGAGGACTCTGTCTGTTCATCTGCCTTTGATCTGATCCTGAATGCAGATCCGGAACCCAGTTCCCATCCGTCACCAAGTCCAGCCTGGGACTGCCCCAGTGCCAGCTGACTGTCATCTTGGGAGCTTGATACGGTTTGGTATATATTTCATTATTTCCTTTAATTTTTTTATTAATATTTCATTACAGTAGCTTGGTTCCTTCTAAACTCATAAATCTCTTTTTCCCTCCTCTGCCTCTCTCTTTGAAGAGGGGTAGAGGGGAGCATCTGTCGGTCCCATCTTCGGTCCCCCAGGTCCCCAGTAGCCGACTTGGCCTATAACACGACACCAAGGAACATGGAGGGAATTCCACCTCCCCCAGCCTCTTGCACAAAGAGATCATTCACATTTACAAACAGATCTCGCTCTCTGTTTTCAGCTAAGACTCCTGCAGATTGCAAATTAAAAAGGGAGGAAAACATGGGTTACTTCTGATGCCAGTAAAGCACTTACTTAAAGTAAGGCTGAGCTGTCAACTTCATCCAGTCTACAGAAAGTACATACAATAAACACAATCCATAATTCCAATTTTTTTACTAGAGCATATCATAAGTAGTAGAAATAATGCAGAACTGCGAAGGCCTGGTTATTCAGAATGCATGTTCACCAGCTAAGAAAGTGTCTCCCCGTTGTTGGATTCTCAAGACATTTCTTTAAAGTGGAAATTTAAAAAGCCTACTTCAAGCATAACTGTTTTCAAGAAAACACTTAAGCAGATATTTGGACCCATAGACCTTGATCATATTTAAACATATGTGCTTCCCTGCTTCACAGACTTCCACATTCAATAAAATCTTATAAAGATTCAGTTGGCAGGCAAAACTTGAATGTAATTCCAATTTGGATCCTAAACTAAAAATGCAAACTGTAAAATGAAGAGAGTTTAATCTTGCCTTAAATGCAGATTTCAGCAGAAGTGTATCTATAACCATAATCAAATAACCCTCTGATGCTTGTTTCAACCTAAATATCACCTGAGTTGGCAGGGCCTCTAATACAGTGAGTGGTCATATTATTTATAAGCACAAAAATGCTGTTCTGGTCACATAACAAAACGTATCAAGATTACAAGTTTTTTTCCCTTTGCTCTGTGGCTCAGAAAAACGCATGCTATAAATCACAGAGGCACAGGGCTGGTAAAGGGCTTTTCCTTTTAAAGGCACAGATTCATCTTTTCTTTTTTTAAACAAAAAAAAACAAAAAACCCAAAAACGGACAGTATCTCCTTTGTGCCAACTGCAATGTCACTCTTTTTCCTCAGATGCCTTCAGCCTCATGCCCCTAAATCAAAAGGCACTGTGTCCTAAGGCGCTGCAGTCCTAACGAAGTACCTTCATGGTTCAGATTGTCTTGCCCCTACCAGGAGAGGTTTCTGGATTATGAAACCATACACTATGATTAACAAGTTGTCCATAACCATGATGAGCTGAGCAATTGAATATCTGTCACTACAGCAGAGAAAATGCATGTGTAAACAACATTAAAACACTTCACATAAGCAGCCAGAAAGCCACAAGGCCAAAGACAGACTTGGGACTCCCAGATTAAAATCTGCATTTTCCGTAATTTACAGTTCAATTCCAACTTCCCTGGTTCGAGGTTTCAGAACAGCACACATACTGCTCTCCTGGGGATTCATTTCAGGAAGGAATGGCATTAGACTCGATTGCTTTGGCAGTACAGTGACAAACACCATGCAGAGCTAATTTTATTGTAGCAACCTGCCTTATTAATATTAAAATAAGGAAGCCAGCCAATGCATTTTTTAACAGGATCTCTCTATTATTTATTTCACAAACTGCACAAAAAATTTACTTTTGCTATGAAATACTTAGCCTGGCATAAAGTAAACAAGGTAAAAAAAAAAAGGTCTTGCATATTATACTGTGACCTCAATTTCCAGTCCCATCTTTACAATCTAAGACTATTTACTGCTCTCCCAGTGGGAGAAAAATCACTAAAATACCAGCCCAAGTTAGAGCCTTTGCTTCAAATATCACTGTGAATTTATCTAATCTATACAGCAATACGGGTACACACCTACATTCACTTCTGAGACACAGAAGGACATATTATTTAGCCAAAGTCATAAAGAGAGCAGCGAAGACGACTACCCAGGGCTCTCAATGGCCTCCTCCCACTTGGAATGCTCCACACGAGCTCTGGAAGAGATCATTTCATAGCCACTTACCAGAAAAGCTTTTTGCTTGTAAAGTGTTTGCTGCAATTAATGTTTCCCTTTGATTCTGTTTCAGAGAAGGGGAGGTGCATGGACTCCAGCTACAGAATGGTGCCACAGGCTTGCAGTACAAAAAGCCACATCGACCCGTGTCAATACCCTTATTGCAGGGTCAGTCTTTTCCCATTACACTGGCGATATCAGAGCTACTCCTGTCAAACTGGACTGTGTGGACTCACCAGAGCAGCTGTGATTAGTGTAAATTAAGCAGAAGCTAGAATGAAGCCTCTCAATTCCAGCCCCGCTGTAACTCACCCTGAACGAGCCTTTCTGTCCTAAAAGCCTAAAGTACTACTGTATCTCAATATCCATTTATTGGCAAGAGTCAGAAAAGCGAGCACAAGCCTGATGAAGGTAACACGCGTATATTTACATGAACTGTCTTCACGCCAATTCCTGAACTCTAGCCCTGCCTGCACTGATGCAGAACTTAAACCCAGCTCTCCTGTGGTAAAAGATCCAGGCAAATAACCAGCTAAGCCCCAAGCCAATCTCATGCAGGTCAACAAGGCCAAGTGCAAGGTCCTACATCTGGGTCGGGGCAATCCCAAGCACAAATACAGGCTGGGCGGGGAATGGCTGGAGAGCAGCCCTGAGAAGGACCTGGGTGTGCTGACTGACCAGAAGCTCAACATGAGCCAGCAATCTGCAATTGCAGCCCAGAAGGCCAACTGTATCCTGGGCTGCATCAGAAGTGTGGCCAGCAGGTCAAGGGAGGTGATTCTGTCCCTCTAGTCCACTCTTGTGAGACCCCACCTGGAGTCCTGCATCCAGCTCTGGAGTCCCCAACATAAGGACATGGACCTGCTGGAGCGTGTCCAGAGGAGAGCCACGAGGATGATCTGAGGGCTGGAGCACCTCTCCTATGAGGAGAGGCTGAGAGAGTTGGGGCTGGTCAGCCTGGAGAAGAGAAGGCTCCGGGGAGATCTTATTGCGGCCTTCCAGTACCTAAAGGGGGCCTACAGGAGCGCTGGGGAAGGACTTTTTACTAGGGCACGTAGTGATAGGATGAGGGGGAATGGCTTCAAACTGGAAGAAGGTAGATTTAGATTAAACATTAGGAAGAAGTTTTTCACTGTGAGGGTTCTGAGGCACTGGCACAGGTTGCCCAGAGAGGTTGTTGAGGCCCCATCCCTGGAGGTGTTCAAGGCCAGGCTGGACGTGGCCTTGGGCAACCTGGTCTAGTGGGAGGTGTCCCTGCCCATGGCAGGGGGGCTGGAACTCAATGATCTTCAAGGTCCTTTCCAACCTAAACCATTCCATGATAGTAAATACACAATCCAGGACACCACGCATCACCATCCCAACTAAGGTAGCTCAGAAACTACAAAACCTACCCTAAGCTCGTAAATACATCTCTGGCTTAATCAGAGCTAAAAACAGTTTATGTCCTAAGAGCGTATATTTAAAATTTTTGCAAGGCAGCCTAGAATTCAGTCTCTGACACCACACAAGTTTTGCTCTAAATATTCCTCCCCAGGCTATTTCAAGTCCAATTGTTATGAA